ACATCACACAGCGCCTGCCCCCCCCACGCTCCCACACCGTACGCAACCGCCGCGAGACGCTCACCCTCGCGGCCGTGCGGGCGCTGCAGAGCATCTTGGCGGATATGCAGGGCCTGGCGGAGGCGCTCGCGGAGAATGTGGAGTTGTTTGCGCACGATGCGAGGAATTTTGGGGCGCAGCAGGCGATGATTTTGAGGGATCAGAAGAGTTGGACGGGGAGGACGCCGACGGAGAAGTTGTTTTGGACCACGGATAATTCGATTGAGCTGGTGGGGAGGAGTACCGATTGGATTGCGCGCGAGTGAGGGCGCGGCGGCGACGACGATAATGATAGCGACGGCGACAGTGATAGTGACGGCGACAGCGACAGCGACACATTCTTTCCCCCTCCTTCCCTTCGGCTCTTCTATTCATATTATTAGGCTACCCATATCCCTCTTGTGCGCATTTCCTTTTTTTTTTCTCTCCCTCTCCCGCTATTGTACCGCGCCAGGATCTTGGTCGTCCACTCGTTCTCTCGGAAGTATCACCCTGTACTGCTATACCTCGTATGTACCCCAGAAAAAGAAAAATTTGCGCGTTCACACGCGATACCGTGGACACATTATATATCCTGATTCACTGTTGAACTTTTGTAGTATGATAGATAAAGAATACATGGGAGTCAAACATGGCTGGTACACACACTCCCTGGTCCAAGAGTCCGGAAAGATGATAATGGTAACACGTCGACGCCTCGACGCCTTCTACACCCGATCGCTGAGCTCGACGGGTATTTGGCTGTAGCCTTCCCGACCCTTCCGTCCACGTACGGCCGCCTTGACAGCGTCCCAGCCATCGAACATGGCCAGCCTCGCACCGTCCCACGCCGTCGGCTCCGCCTTCGCGCCCGCACCCTCCTCGCCCGGCACGACCAACTCCCGCGGACGCCGCCACCACTTGAGCGTCAGCGAGCTCGTCACGACGCTCACGCTCGAAAACGCCATCGCCGCGCCCGCCGTCATCGGGTGCAGGCTCACGCCCCACGGGAGGAAAAAGCCCATCGCGAGCGGGATCCCCAGCACGTTGTATATGCACGCCCAGATGAGGTTGCGTCGGATCACGCGGAAGATGCTCTGTGAGAGGTGCAGCGCCGCGACCACGTCCAGGAGGTCTGACCGCATGAGGACAATGTCTGCCGCTTCGACTGCGACGGTCGTCCCGGAGGACAGGGCGATGCCCACCGAGGCTGCGACGAGCGCGGGGGAGTCGTTGATGCCGTCGCCGACCTACGAAAGGGGTGTGAGCGGTGCGATGCGCGTTCGGGGTGACAAGTGGAGAGTCACGTACCATCGCGATGCCGCCGCCGCCTTTCTCCATCAGCTGCTCCATGACGCGCGCCTTGCCCTGCGGACTCATGCGCGACCAGATCCCATCCGGCTTGACGCCTACCTGTGCCGCGACGGCCTTGGCGGTTGCCTCGCTGTCCCCTGTCATGATGTTCACTTCAATGCCCATACGCTGCAACGCACGGATGGCAGGTGCCGCAGAAGGCTTCGGCTGGTCCGACAACGAGAGCGCGAGTACGGGTTGGGGCGGCGCACCGCGTGCACCACGCACTATCGATACAAAGATCACCGTGCGCCCCATCGAGGTCTCCTGACGCTCAAATGCGGACAACGACGATGGGAGAGACGTCATGTCGTCCTTTGCTTGGCAGATAAACGACACAGTTCCTACGTACACGTCGTACGACACGTTCTCCCCGGCGAGCACTACCGTCGCCTTCACGCCTGCACCAGTGACGCTCTCGAATGCCGTGACCTCCGCCTGCGGGACAGTGCTGGCGGTGGCCGCGTACTGAGCGACCATCTCTGTCCCGTACTGCGCTACAGCCTTTGCGAGTGGGTGTTCCGAGCGCGCTTCAGCGGCTGATACCATCCTAAGGACTGTCACACGGTTCGTCAGACCGTCCGCGGAGGATTGAGCCAGCCCAGCGTGGTCTGCGATGCCGGTGATGGGTGTGCCCATGCTCATCTGCTCGTCCGTAATAATGCCGTCGAGCTCGTCCAACGCAGGCGCCCACATCAGTGCCGCGAGGCTGAGCTTTCCTTCAGTAACGGTTCCGGTCTTGTCCAGCACGACACGGCGTATATGTCTGCTCGCCTCCAGCGCGCGCCCGCCCTTGATCAGAATTCCATTCTTCGCTCCAACGCCTGTGCCAACCATAATCGCCGTAGGTGTACTCAAGCCAAGCGCACATGGACATGCGACAACGACGACAGAGATGCAGAGCTTGAGACACACGGCAAGCTTACTCGCGCCGGGCGAATTAAACACTTCCGGTAAACTGTGCTGCGGGAGAATCCAGTTCGCAATGATCATCCACGCGAGAAACGTCATGACCGAGAGCGAGATGACCGTCGGGACAAAGTAACCTGCAACCTTGTCGGCAAAGGCCTGAATGGGTGCCTTACTCGTCTGCGCGTCCTCCACGAGCTTAACGATCTGCGCGAGCGCCGTGTCTCTACCCGCGCGTGTGACGAGCATGTCAAATGTCCCAAGGCCGTTGACTGCGCCACCAATGCAGGAATCACCGGCCTGTTTCAGCACAGGAACGGGTTCGCCCGTCACAGCGCTTTCGTCGACGGTAGAAGAACCGCGCACGACAGTGCCGTCTGCGGGAATCTTGTCACCGGGTACGAGCTTGACAGTGTCGCCGACCTGGACAAGTTCCGTGGCTACCCGCTTCTCCTGTGTGCATTCGGAGTCGGTATATATGATCGCCATCGTCGGGGTTAGTGCCATCAGGTCAGTAAGCGCGGCCGACGTCTTGCCTTTTGCAAGGTTCTCCAGATAGCGACCTAGAGATACGAATGTGATGAGCATGGTCGAGGTGTCGAAAAAGACTGCGGGGCGATAGTCAGGGTCAGGGCTCCCCAACGCGCAGACCATAGCCAGGACGGAGTACACGAAAGCAGCTGAGGTACCGAGGACGACGAGCACATCCATAGTGGCTGTGCCGTGGCGTAATGACTTGTATGCATTGCGGTAGAATCGACGAGCCAACCATGTTTGCACAGGAAGAGTGAGAAGGAATGCGAGTACGTCACCAGCGTAAATGCCACGTGCAAGCCGGTGGCTGAGGATCGGGCCAAAGAAAGGAAGACGTGGAGCGACCATACCAAGAAAAAACACAGGAATTGCGAACGCGAGACTGGTTCGGAAGCGAGAACGCCATTCGTGAATCTCCTTTGTGCGCGTGAGGGAACGAAGCTGCGTCGCGTCATTGTCATCGGAAAGCACCGCGTCAAACCCGAGCTCTGAGACTCTGTCGACCATGTCCCGAAGGCCGACCATCCTACGATCGTAAATGATTTGGCAGGTCTCGGTCGCAAGCGATACGGAGACCGACATGACACCAGGCAACACACCAAGTTCTTGCTCAACGGTTGAAGTACAGGACGAACATGTCATTCCATAAATACGGAGAGTAATATTATCGGATGCATTCACAGGAATCTCCGTAGCGTCAAAGCCTATATCAGAGATTTCCTATGCATTTGATTAAGAGGACGCAAGGGGCGCAACAGAGAAACCAACGGCAACGAACCTCCACGACCTTTTCTGTTGTCCACATTGTGGGGTCGAACTCGACCACGCCACGCTCTGCGAGGAGAGCCACTTTGACAGACTGTATACCAGGCTGGTTTCGCAACATGGACTCGATAGACTGGAATGACATTCAGCACATAATTCTTTCGAGTTCAAAAGCCAACGCACCTCGACACATGCCCCGCATGTCATGCCCTCTATTCTGAGCTCGCACTTGCTGGAAGCAGCACCCGCGAGAGGCTCCTCACCCTGGTCAGAAAGCGCGACGGGGGCCTTTCCGAGCCACATTGTGGTTCTAGGTAAGAGGGAAGAGAGGGCGGCAGAGATGGGCTCCATGATAGCGGCCGTCGAGCGCAAGACTAGCGAGGTGTAGGTCTATGGAGCGTGTGCGTGCGATTGACCAACCAGATAGTGCGGGAAACGAGTTTGGAGGCTAGCAAATGGCTAGATAAAACAGGCACAAGAAGACACAGACAGAGGGATTAGGCAAATAGGCGATGGTTTGCTGTCAACAGCTCGTAGGTACAGGTTATTATAAGGAGCGGAGTCACCGCTTGCGTGACAAATGTGGCTTGGTTTGTCATACCGTAATCGACCAGGCCCTTTACTCCAAACCCTTCATGTTTGCCAATCAGCTCTGAAGAATTTAGCATGCTCGGTCCCTCCAATAGCGGTAACCATTCGTGATCTACGGTATCTACGATATCTACCCCTCGACTATTTGCATTGCACACCTGTTGACCGTTGTCCCCTAGCGGGCGCCGACTATTATGCAAAGTGTCCCCAATGTTGTGCCAACGCCGTAATATTGCAGAGGGACATTAAATTTTGTCGAGTGCTCTTGCAACAGTTCCCTAGCGACAGTGTTCTTAACGCCCCCACGAGTTGGACATCTCTAGATTTTCACTGACTCGGATGCTCCAGGCCAAAATGCCTGTGACTCTTGTGCTCAGACAGGAATTTGATTACCCGATGAGCGTAGTTTCATCGGATGTTGCAGCGTACATGTCTTCAAGAGCCTGTCGGCGAATTGGAAATGCGCTGGATGTACGTCTATGTGCTAAGCGCTGTCACACGGTCGTACGGGCGCCTCGGATTACGTATCTATACTCATTCCATCCGCATAAACTGACGAACATTACCTTTCATCCCAGGTCCGAGTCCCCACTGCATTTCTTTTATGTATGAACCACCACAACTTATGTCACTGTCAAGTTCATATCGCCTTGCTTCATGGAAGACTCGTATGCACCGTAACTTTGCGTCAATCCTCTGGCCACGAGACCACCTGTCTGACGATCGGGATGGGAACTATTGTATTTCGTACAACGCAGAGTTTTTGAGGTCTGTACCAAATTTACTGATGGTTCTTAGAAATAGTCCAAGATAATTCATTCAAACCTTAAGGCAAGATGGCCGAGTGGTCTAAGGCGCCAGACTTAGGTTGGAAATACCATATCTGGTCTCGTTTCGGGGCGTGAGTTCGAACCTCACTCTTGTCAATGGTTTTTCTTGTTACCTTATTATAAATAATCATTCCTATTTGATTTTTTAAATATTTTTTTACTGAACTTCATCATAATGGTAATATTTGATATGAAATACAGTGGAAGGGTCTATCAATTACGTGGAGCCATTGGTATAGGAAGGGGGCCCTGTCCGGGTGTTAGCAATTTTCTGTCGGAAATTACATGTGACTCACCAGGACGAGGAGCTCGCAAACTGGCGATCAATGTTGCCTTTTCCTCGTCTGAGAGTATGTCTGCCAGCCGGAGGACGCCTTCAAGAGCAGCCTTTCGGTCCTTTTGCGCAACCGCTAGCATACTCTTCGTCACACTGTCTCTATGCAGTTGTTCTAATGTGGGTTCGAGATCTAATCCTTCGATAGCAGACGTAATGTCACGGTCATCGGACGACCCAACATTTACCAGCAGCGATTTGAGCAAGCGAGAACGGTATTCGGCTGTGGAATCCGGAGACGCCAATTGAATCCGGGCGAGCGCGGCAGACTGGGCAAGACGAGCACGAAGGGCCCAATAGAAGTGTCGGCGAGCATTCTTCCACACCACAGGTTTTGCGCACCCTTTGGCCTCCATGCGTCCAGCACGGCTGATATTCAAATGAGTTAATAATTAATCCTGGCCATTGTTCTGACTTACTCGTGAAGATCCGCATACAGTAAAGCTAGTTGCTTGTATGAAGGTTGCAGGTGGGTTTCCCGTTCCGCTAACTTTTCAGCAGCAGCCGCTCGTTCTTCGGTAGTCTTGGATGCATCTTTGCTTAATTGTTTGAATGACGCATACTGTGTATCTAAGCGTTCCATTAAACCCAGCAGCTTTTCTCGCCGCACTAATACAACAAACGAGGTCAGCACACCAGCATGAAAACGTGATTTACGCCGACCTTTAATCTCGATGATTCCTTCCGGCTCTGTTTAAAAATCAATATCTTAGATGATTGAGCAGGCAGAAACAGACAAACCTAGGACACCAGCACGAGCATCAACATCTGCATACATTTGCATCTGTTCTGTGTTGATGGAGGGATCAAGGACCACCCAAGCACCTCCTCGCTGTAAGATATATGTGAGTTGAGGAGAAAGCATGCAACTAATATGGTATTCACCAGTTCGCCGTTGGGGACAATATAGACAAAAACAGGCTGCTTATAGCTTGAAAGACCATCCACAATCTTTTGACAGAGAGTTCAGTAATCGTGAAAGAAGAGTTGGGAACAGCTGACCTTGGATCCTTGTTTCAGGACTTCATCATACTATTGCGAATGTAAGACCTAGTTTAGTACACAGAGTATTATCACCAACCATGTCCTGTTGCCCTCCAGAAAAGCCGCGCCAGTTGGCAAAAATAATAAGTGGAAGACCTTCGCGGTTGAAGTCGAATATAGCTTGTGCAGTCTTATATGCTGAATTCGGGTACCATACTTGACCGGCCTCCATGATCCGCTGTTCGAACGACGTTGGATTGGCTGGATCAGCGGGGACTATGCGCTCAATGGTTCGGGCTGTATGGACGGACGTGTCAATGTATTTGCTTGACATTATCTTAGCAGACTTACTTTCGACAGCAATGACACCCATAGGAATACCGCCAAGACGGGCCCGACCAACAACCTGTCGAATTTTTGACACAGAATAAATCAAACATCTTAAAGATCATACCACTGTCTGTGCCCATCCACTAAGCGTCTCCTGGAAAGAGCTCTTATCGAAGAACCCAGTCAACCACTCGGACGACGTTTCGTCATTCTTGCCTTCAATAAACCATCGTGGATCGTAAGGTCCTTTTGGAGGTGTGTACGCGATATCACGATCCCAGGAGTCGTTCGTCATATTGATCGGGAGTGCTGCGCCCTTATGTTCTGGTATGTAAGACAACCATTGCAAAATATGAGTTGCACCCTCAAGATCGCTACCGGCAGTAAGATGAGATACGCCATTCTTGTGCATAATCTGAGTGCCACCAAGTTGAAGATTTGAGGTATAAACCTCACGGCCGAGTACTTTATTCAACGCAGGGGCCCCAGTAAGGATTATCGGCTGACCTTCGACTTGTACCGCTCGTTGGCCCAGACGAACCAAGTAGGCTCCAATACCGACAGATCGTGCAGTGACCAGAGTGATGGTAAATATGTCCTCATAGGCTCGGGATGTCTCTCCAGCAATCAGGCCTGAGCCTTTGAGACATTCAACACCTAGACCATCCTGTAAGCCAATGATATCGGTGATTTTGTACCGTCGTTCGCCATTCTCTTCGACCTCGACCGTTAGCACGCTGCCAGTGCCCTTCTCTTGTAGCTTCAAGAAGCTTTCATGCGTCAAGTATAAGTAATTGACTCCTTTCTCTGGATGATCTTCATCATTCCAGGCACAAGAGAACAGCGGCAAAAGCTCTTCCGCTATTCCTATACGAGCGCCAGAATTGGCAGAAAGATAAATACGAGGGATGCCTGATTTACGAGCGTATTGCGACGCAAGGTAAAAGAATTGATCTTCCTGCGGGCCAAAGGAACCGATCTTGTAAGTGATATCGTTCGCGATAACGACAACACGGCGGCCATCCGGGAACTCAGGTGTACGCAAAATGAAAACCCACCCGACCATTCCGCACGTATTATTGCCTGGTGCACGGTCAACTTCTTGAAGTTCATCATTTTCGTCCAAAACGAGCTCTTTGGAAACAATAAAGGCTTTCGGCTGTGCGAGAGAAGGATTGGTATCCCGGGCCGCCAACCATAAATTGTGCAGGGCTTTGTTGAAGAGATCAGGGAAGTCGTATACGTATGTCGTACCGACCAAATGAGCTTGGTATCGCCGGGGTTGTAATGATTCCTTTGTTGAGAAGGGCTGGTGAACGGGCTGTAAGTGGAGAGGTCCTTTCTCGCCTATGGATTTCAGGATGGTAGTGCCTTTTTCGGTAGTAATCTCCTGATACGCATTGAAATTGACAATGAATCCTGAAACATTTTCGATGACGACACGAATGGGAGTGACATTGCCTTCACTGTCTTCCAATGTGCAACGGACCTCTGCGCCCGTCACATGCAAGCGCCAAAGTCGCTTGCCGTGTCGCTCGATAAATCCAGATATAGCTTCCAGAACCTCGTCGAAGGTGACAGCCAAATTATACACAAAGTTCATACCGATGTGGTTACAGTCAGCGCTGCGGTGCTTAGCACTAACAACTTCCAGCGCGTCGAGAATGCTTCCAACTAGGCGATCCGACTCCGAGATCAAGTAATCGGCGGTAGTCAATGTACCGCGAATACGACCGGGTCGAATCATCGCGCGTATGAAAAATCGGTTATCCAGAGGATTCTCGATTGCTACAGCGTGATAGATATGAATTTGGCGGTTCTCCACAAAGCAAGGCGTGAGTTTATAATTCGACAGTCGGCTAAGTTCGAGTTGATAGGCCAAAGCCGGTTCAATGTTACGGATGGCTTCTTCTTCTGCCCACGTCCCATTCATTTCACGTAGGGTTACGAAATATGGATACTGTCCTTTGCGACAGATCATGAGTGTAGCACGTCTAACGCCATGCGCAGTTACGACGTCCCGTCGTTCATTGACAAGACTGAGGAATCGCTCTCGCCAATCGGACTCCGGCATGTCGTCATCTTCGTCGAATATACGCAAAGCCAAGCTCAACACATTGGGACGCTCAGTGTTTCCACCATGGCGTCGTTTGTGGTCTTCCGCATCAAAAGCAGGTATACGGCTCGTGACCTTGTCAAAGCCACGGCGTAAAGCCTCCAAATTAGGGAACGATGCAATGGCCCCCCAGCGGATAGGTTGAGACTGGTGTTTTGATATCAGATATGTCAGATCACTGACTGAACCTTGTCGCCGAGGACTGAGGAATATATTAGAATAAGGGACCGGGAGATAAGACCGAAACCACGTACAGCGGTCGATCAAACTGGGGTGTAGAGGGTGGAGAAGGCGCCTGTCCAATCTTAAACCGCCAAGTAACAACATTTGGCGAATCTCCATCGTCCATACCATCCCCCTCTTCATAGTCAACGGAAAGAAGAGTGTAAGCACGATATGCCCGCCGTGCGTAGACTTCAAGGGCAGCTAGGTGTAAGAATAACGTCTGTAAGTCAGGTATAAAGTGGTCTAAGATGCCATTCTTACCCATAGCAACCCATGCGTCCTCGTGGCTGAAGAAAGTGGGAAGGACATCATAAACACCCCAACGAGAGTCGCTCAATTCCCTTAGAATATCTGCTGCAGGAGCCCTGATTTGAATAGGGAATCTGTCAAAACAAGGAGTTGACTGTAGAAAGTGGACTACCTATGACCCGAGCCCTGTTCCCCATAATAGCTCGTGAGGACTGAGGACTTGAGTATTTGTTCCATCTGCACTGCACGTTCTTCATAGGAAGGGAGTTGTGTCGAAATAAGTACTTCGCGCGCCTTTAAGGCAACTGCAGTCGCAGACCTAGGGTGCGTTCAAACACAAATCACGAAGAAAGGTAATAATAAAAAAGGCAAGCCCACCTGCCCTCTAAAGCAGCAAGATCCTTGAGAACCTCACTTATCTGATTCTCAGGAGTGGAGAGTGATGAACCCCCGGACTTGACGAGATCCAAAAGAGACATGACCAGTTTGCTCTTGCTTTGAGCCTTGGTGTGGCTCAAAACAAGTGCAGTGACAACGTCGAGATCGTTCTTGTGTTGTTCGCGGAGGGCAAGTACGCGAGACTCAATGCTTCCTCCGAACAGCTTCTCGGTGGATTCGTATTTCCTGAGCAATGTTGCGATTGTATCCCATTCGTGACCCTTTAGGCCGTTTCGATAACTCTCTACTGCATCAAACAAAGACGCCAATTGCGAACGGAACATGGTCCGATCCTGTGGGCGCACCTGGTCGTTGAGGTAATTATCCAATAACTTCTTGGTCCGTGCCGCTGGAAACTCGCGCTGAGACGATTTCGATTTGCTAGTGTCAATGGCATTGCGTATGTTATCCTCGAGTTTT